TGGATTTAGGGGCTGACGCCTCGTTCGTTGTGCGCAGCAAAGGCAGCGCGTCCCAGGCTGGGGCAAGGACCTGCCACCTCTGCTGCTAAAAGAGCAGGCGAGGCTGTGGCTGAGCTCACCGGTTCCCGTTCCTGCCGCGGGCTGCTGCTCTCAGCTGCGCGGAGCAGGTACCATCGCTCACACCCTCCTCCCAAACGTCACCAACCTGGAAATGAACAAAGAGCTTCTTCCCAGGCTGCTGCAAAACCTGTTCCACTGAACCGATGGACAGATAAGGAAATCAGGTCACTAGGGAGGTACCTACCAGGGAGACAAACAGCCACGGACTCGTCCCGAGGCTGGGCTGGGGGCACCGGGGGCAGCACCAGCTCTCCAGGGAAGAAACGTACTGGTTTGGTTTGGTTCCACGTACTGGTTCTGTGCAGGGACGTGCTGCATCCCAGGCAAAGGGATGTTGTGCCGTTACTGGGCTGGGACACTCTCAGCTGTACCCTGTGAGATGACCAAGTGTTCCTCTGAGGAGGGAACTGCCGGGTGAAATTCTGTGTCCTGCTTGGAAAAAAAAATCAGCAGAGCACTGGCACACCTACTTCCCCCAAACCCCAGAGTGGTTATTTGTACAATACCCCCCCAGTGTTATGAGTTTAATATCATAACGCTGCGGCAAAGAGGTACTCTAGAAAAATTAATTAAATTAAAAAGGAAAATTGTTAAACACCTAAAAGCCCCAGTGTCCAGAGTGTGCTGTGCCCTGTCCCCTGCAGCACACCGCTGCCAGAGAACCTCCCAAGCGACCACACCACCAGTTTCAGATGGGGATTGATGGGTGGGCAAGAAAGCCCAGGCTGCAGCCAGCCACAACTGCTCGTTATCGATGGCACTCGAGAAATCTGCTCTCTTCTGACATTTCAGAGCACACATTAAAGCTTCACCTTCCACAGGAATACAGACACCTGGCTATCCCCACCTGCTTCCTGCCAGGAACCTCCATCCACACACAGTCCCGACTCCAAACATCCACTTAAGCAATTTGCACATCTTAAAAATAAAATCCTTTATTGATAATACGAATGTTTAACATGTTTAATGCCATCAGCTATAAAAATGATTAAAGACTTCAGCTTGGTACATTTGGCTTTACAAATTTACAAGTGTTAATGAATTAATACTAGTGTATACATTTTGCACTTCATTATACTCCATTAGCCAGTGACAAACTCTGCAACAACGTCTGCTTGTAACAGGTGTGAGTTATAGAAGGAATATTTAGTTGCTTCCACACAGAATCTACATCAACAGTTAAATACTAACTCTAAATGTCTTACTTGAATTAGCTGGATCCATTTTAGTATCTTGTGCTTAGTTTCTCTCAGAAGATAGGCTACTAGCAAAAATACATTCTTTTGCATACCCCTTCCCATATTATATTTTAGAAGAAACAGTACTCAGTGCATTTCCTAATAGACTTCATCAGAGTATCTCTCTCTCTCTCTCTAGAGCTATTGATAAAGAAAGGGGATAATACCATTGAGATTAATGTAAAAGCAAAGAAACATGTTAAAGCAGTGTATACAAAAGCCTCACTTGTGAATCAGAAGCGATACATGGGCCAATATCCATCTGCCCATCCATCCGCTTTTACAAGTACTCTCATCAAGAGGAAAAGTCTGCTGTGGATACTTAAAAACAGTTAAAAAAGTAATCAGTGTGCTTCCAAAAGAGTCACTGCCCGTTTATCTCTAGGCTGCCTCTGTCTTCCCCCTATTAGGACACAGCCTGTTCCACTGGATTAGGGACAACAGCACATAACACCACGATTTAAAAGGACTAAAAGGTCTGTTAAACCCCCTTGTTCTTGTCTGAACACCTGCATGGCTGTGAGGGAGAGAACAGCAGCCTCACTCCAGACACCAGCCGCTTCAAAGCGACACCGGAGCTCTGATGTCCTATAAAACAAGACCCAAAGCTGGAAGGAACCTACCAGGTCATGTACAGCAGCTCATCCCCCAGCTGCCGCAGGGATCTTTGCTACAATAAAGGTGGATGTGTTTTGTCTAATTAAATATTGAGAAATGGCAAAGGAGAAAGCGTCTCTGGCAGTGGGAAGCTGCGCCCTGGCAAACGTGACGCTGCAGCAGAGGGAAACGCTGAGCAGCGACTGACACTGAGCAGCAAGTCCAGTTTCTAAATTTAGGATCGGTTCATATGCAACAACCGAGATAATTAACCCAGGGCTCTGCTCTCAGCCTCTGCCACTGATCCGCGGGGCGTCTGTCTTGTACTTCTCACCGCAGTGACTCAGAGAACCATCGCGCTGTGCCGCCCAACGACGGGGCAGCGCAGGAGCAGCACCACGCTTCTCCCAGCAAATGCTTCTGCACAGAAACCAGCTGCTTCTCCCCTCTTGGGTGCAAATAGTTTTTCACACACAAGATTTGCCTCAGATTGAGGCAATTCCTCGCTAAGTGATTTTTTTAAATCTAAATGAATTCCCACATTTTCTTCATATGAGGCAGAACATCAAGAATAGATATTTTCCTGATACGCTGTGTATTTAGTATGTGTGTGTGTGAAACTACTGACACATCCATACGTACTCAACCACACACAACAGTCATGATTTGGTTCCATATTGGCAGCCAAGGAAAGCCAGCAAGATCCCACAGCTAACGAGTGAGTAAAATCCAGCCAGACACAACTGACACAGATGAGGAACAAAATTATTGCTTTTGTTTATAGTAGAAGATCCCATGTTACTGTTGCAAAAAACCTGTATCATATGGACTAGTGATTTTTTTTTTTTTCAAGTAATAGCAAGATCTTTGTCAAGTAATAGCAAGATCCTTTTCTCAGAAGTTCTACACACAACAGTAGAATGCTTGAAGAGCTTGAAAATTCAAGGTGACACACCAGAAACCAGAGTGGAGCCATTTAAAGCACACAGGCATCTCTGCAGGATGCGTTACAGGAAAGCAAAAAGAACTACATGGACAATGAATACTGAGAGAAAAGGAATCTGGACTGTATTACAGCTAAATTTTACCCCAAGAAACTCCCGTGTGCTTCCTCAAATGGCGAGGAGCTGTGTCCTGAAGGACAAGCGTAGCTGGCTGCATCAGTCTGGTGGTGACTGTACAGAATTTGTAGCACATTTGCTAACTTAGTTTAGCAAATGGAAAGAATTAAAAAGAAAAAACAGTGTTGGTTTCAACATTCATGACTCAGAAGAATTTTGTTTCTGCAGCTAGGTGGTTCCCCCTCCTCACCTTTTCCAGAGAATCACATTCATATTGCAGGCTTAGTTCAGGCACTTCTTATAAAATGTTCATCTGGAGTAAAAAGTCTGCAAAAGTTATTTCTGCAGAATTTAAAAGTAGCATTTCAGTCCCATTAGAGTTCGAGAGTTAGGTCCCACCACATGATTATGGTTCTTCTTATCTCTAATGATTTGACTGCTGCCATGAGACATTTGGAGGCTACTGTATAGCTGTAGTTAAGGTTTCTCCATAAACAAAAATACTTTCCTACCTATTAAAAAAAAAGAAAAAAAATATACTAAATGCTTTATACAGACAGAATCTGCTACTATGGAAATAAATAACACGGAGTGGAAAAACAGTGTCTTAGCTGTAGGATGCTAAGCCATGGAATGTCACATTCACATTTTCTGGAGACTAGCTGCTAGTTGGCAGGAGTATCTCAATGTCTTTGCCGTTTGACACTACAGTGTTGTTAGAGCAGCTACTTGCCACGTCCATGGGGGCACCCAGAGAGGACACCGGGGAGGAGGTTTTGGGGAGTGGAGTAGGAGCAGCAGGTGACTGAGCGAGACCAGGTTTCTTTGGAGGAATGGGTGGAGGGTTCCCTCTTTCTGCTCTAGGAATGGTTGGTGACTTAATTCCAGGAGACAACGGGCTTAGAGGACTGGAAACCTTGCCAGGGCCTGGAGAGTGACCAGATTCATTCTTAGGGCTCACAGGATTTGCCAGATTGCGATAGTCCGTGCCAAAAGGTGAGCTGTTAGGGGAGACAGGTTTAATAGGTCCCTGCTGGCTGGTAAATCTGGAGAGGACCTGAGTGACTGTATTGCGGGCCAGCTGCTTGGCAGCAGAGTTATCTGCTAGAGTAGGAGACAAATCCCGTGAGGGTGGGCTCTGCAGACCACTTGACTGATGGTCCTGTTCAGCTTGAGACTGAAACTTGTGCCGAGCTGCGTGGAAACGTTGATTGATCCCCACCTGGTAGGATGACTGGTAACCAGGGCTGCTTGCTGAAGCTCCAACTAAGCGTTTAGACAGCACTGGCGAGGAGCAGGGAGAAGGTGTCAGGGAGGAGGCAGCTGTGCTGCTAGGAGACAGGGAGACCCCACTAGGGGGGAGCTGGGACATCAGATGCACCGGTGACTCTGTTCTTATAGGAGAACTTCCATTCTCAACTGCATTTTCTGGGGCTGCACCAGCAGATTTCTCCTTCTGAACTTGGTTCTCTGCTGCATTTGTCTGCAGTAGCTCACCACCCATCTCTGTATCACAATGACCATTGGATTTTGCATAGGGGTGAGGAGGTGTAGTAGGGCTGGGAGACGTGGGATGCGCAGCTTTGCTTGTGCTGGCAGGATTTGCTCGGTCTGCCTGCAGACACTCTGTCTGGCAAGACACAGACTTCACTGTGGGACTGTCAGTTGCAACGCCTCTGGACACCACCGAGGGGCTTGGCTGCAAAGCCTCAGTAGGATTGTGCTCCTGGCAAGAAGCCTCCAGCTCTTTTAGAGCTTTCTTCAGACATTCCACCTCTTCTTTGAGTGCTTTTGTACGGTTTTCTTCTCTGTTCAGCTTGGCTTTCAGCTGTTCTCTTTCAATGTCAAACTCGGAGAGCTGCTTTTCTACTTGTGCTTCCATCTGTAAACCCCGCTTCCTCTTGGACGCCAGCTCCTCTTCCAGTTTACTCACCTTACTCTTCTCTTTTTCCAACTTCAAGCTCAACTCTGCTGTCTTCTGCCCCTCTTCAGCTGCTTTGGCAGTGGCTTTCTTGCACTCTACTACAAGCATGGAAGACAGTTGCTTGTGGCGTGCCCTTTCCTCTTCCAACTGGCTCGACAGCTTCTTCTGTTCTTTTTCAAACTTTTTCACTTGGGATTTTTCAAACTCCAACTGGAAGATAAGGACAAAACAGACTGTAAGGGAACCACAAAACCTCCTGAAAGTAAATGCAGTATAATGCCCCCAAAGGGAACGGTGTTACTGTGTATCTTGGAGAAATTCTCCAGTAAAAGATGGCAATGGCAAAGAAAGAGGCTCTTGCCCCAGGTATCTGCAAGACAGACTTGGATGACTCAGGATGCAAGTATTAAGAATTATTACTTACTAGTAGTTCTATCATATATGAAATTCAATTGACCTTTAGTGAGACACACACTCAGTCTGCCAGGCACTGACTGAACAGGCGCTCTGGAGCAAAGCTTCCTTCCACCTCATTTACTACTTTGTCAGTTTGCCTTTTAAAGGCATTTAGACTTTAAAATGCTGATGTGCTATGTATGGTTAATAAAGTCTACAGCACTCGAGTAACAGAAAACAGTAGCTTAAATATTTATTATCATCTCTGAATAAGCCCCCCAGGAGATCTTTTATGACTTATTCTGAATTTTGAGTACTAGAGAGCCCTATCATTTGTAAGTGCAGCCCTGTTCTGGAGAGCTTCTCAGATTTCAGGATGAAGTAGGACTTAAAAGCATCCAATTAATAGCTTTTAGCACTGCCCAGCTACCAAAACATCCCCAAAAATTAAGGTTGTTTTTCATATGGGAGTGCCTTACAGAGGAGGGAGGTCCCTACTACTCTTTCAACACCAAGGTGCAATTAGACATCACCACCAAGTTCACCACCCAGGAGCCTGGGGTTTCCGAGGGTTGGGTAATTACCAGGGCGTACCTGCTGGGTGAGCCGCTCCCGCTCCTTCTCCAGCATGTAGGTGACATCATCCCCCTCCGCCGTGTCCTGGGCATGCCGCTGTCTCTCTTCCTCCAGGTCCAGTATCACCTGCCAAACAAACACCAGTCACTCTGATGCCTGGGCACACTTACAAGCAGGGAGAGATCTGCACCTTCATACACAGTCCAAAGCCAAATGACATGGGAGAGCAACCCCTGTGACCTCAGACATCCAAACTGAAGTCAAAAAAGCAGCTTTTGGCCAAGTTACAATACTACATTATTATTATTATTTGGTATAGTTGAGTCAGTTTGCAAGAGAAGTTCGGAAAAACCTCACACTGGATGTATCTTCATTTGATTATTAAATAGCTAAACTGCATGCTCTTCCCCCAGAGTGCAGGATAGCCTTGAGAAGTTCACGTCTTCTGTCCTTGGTTGCTTGGTGCCCTCATCAGAATCTCCTGGCAGGACCATTACTGTGGACTCCAGCAGGAGCAGAGGCACTGCCCAGACACTGTGTGTCCAGGAGACACGGGGCACTAACGATTACAGCAAGACGATCCTTGTTATGGTTTCAGTGGTAATTTGCATTCAGGCTGCTCCCCCAGTTTCTTACAGGGGATTTGAGGACTGCAGCGCAAAGTTTATTTTAAAGAACATTAATTTGCTCTTCCACTTAAGAACAAGATGAGCTCTTGAAATGAAACTGCTTGCCATAAGGACCCAGTTAAGGAGCTCCTTCAGCTTTAACGCTGAATTACATGAATAATTGAAATTCTATTAACAAAAAAGCCAGAACACAAACTTCCCAAGTCACTCTGCTGTATCTCACCACCAAAACTCTAGGCTCTCTCAACACATGCTCACCATGAATTTAGCAGCTCCTCAGCCTTCCTGAAGTTTAGGCTTCCAAACAATATCTTTAAGTACATAAGGAACCTTATTACAGAAGGAGAAGGGGGAAAAATATCTGATTTTAATAGTGTAATTTAGCTAGATGCTTGGCTGAAAAGTGGAACGCAGCCTTGCTGTTACTTCCAGTGACTTAGAGGACAAATTGAAAGCTGAAGATACCTCCAGCTGCCCACCCCAAGCATAGTGTCTGTGATGTACGAGTCAAGCTGGTTGGTTGCTTATGTCATAGTAAGTTTTCTGCAACAGAAATGCTTTAGATTATTCACAGACTGAAAGGAACTTGCTCTGTCTTACATCTATCAAAATAGGTTCCAGGAAAATAAACTTGAACCCACATGCTGATGAGCAATGAAACGGAGGTTTCAACTTTGAACCTTTTGCTTAGAAACAGAATGTGACTACTTGTATCTGAGAACTTTGTACACGATTTAATAAGTTTTAATCAAAGCAAGAGTGACATACCTGAAAAAAAATAGAGGATGGCATTGGCCCAGGCACAGGCAGTAGCCAAAATACACCTTGATCTGACATTGTACAAGGCAGCTCCTGGGCACTCGTGTAACAGCACCGCCTCACAGCCAGCCCCTGACTCCAGCAAAACTTACCTTTCTGTGCCTGCTTTCCGCAGCAGCCAGTTGGGATAACATTCTTTCCTGCATATTCTTGCAATGTTTCATCACCACTTTTAAAATAGATAATGGATTGGAGCATACTGGTTGCTTTTCACCATGATTTCCCTCTTTCAGGGTCTCAAAATCTCTCTGCAAAGCCATTAGTGGATCGCTGATGTTGTACTTCCCATAGCGTTCTTCAATGAACGTGTCTCTGTGCTGGGCCTGCAATACAAAAAACACAGAAGAAGGTAAATATCAATTCTTGCTCCACAAAAGATTTAATCATTTACTGTTTCAGTGGAAGAGCAGTTGTGTGGTTGTCTTGATTATGTCACCATCAAAGAATTTAGCGTTGAGCAATTAAAGGAGTTTTATTCTCACAATAGCCTATAAATCAGTAAGTTGTTAATACAAGCCTTAATATTCTCACCCAGGTTAAACAAAGTTTAGTTTCTCAAGAAGCAAGATAGGACTGATTAGTTTTCTTTTGGTGACATCTAAGAATTAAAGAAACTCACACATACTAGGCTTTACATTTACAGCATTTAGAATCAGCCATTCCAGCTGGAAATCTGTTGGGATACCAACAGCCTTATCCTACTGAATGACTACTGTTATGTTCTGAAAAAACCAAAACAAAAGTTCATAAACACACAGATATTAAAATATTATCTACATGTTTACCACCAGGATAAGAAACCACATGAAAACAGATATCCATGCAACAAAAGACATAAGGGGATAAACAGACTTAGACTCAAAAGAGCCCTCGGAGCTCATCTACCTTGGCTCCAAGAAATGTAATCATTGATTTTGACTGCAATGGTTACAGGTGAAACTCTGTGTGTTTGTGATAAACCCGTGGTGGTGTTTCATTCCAGCGTGTATCACTGACAGCACAATCCCCTGCACAGCAGAGCTGATGCACCTTCCAAATCCGAGGTTTCAATTTGATTCTTCTTGATTCATTAGTGTCATGGTAACCAGTCCTTACGAGATAATTCCTACCTTCCCTAGAGGGCTCTTGGTGAGGCCCCAGAGAACGACCTGGGCTTTCCTCTGCTCCGCCTTTCTCTGACATGCAAGAGCCCTGGTACCTTTAACCAAAGTGTGCTACCACCTTGGAAGCAGTTTAAAGTGTCCTTTAGCATGTTTAACTAAAGCACTGTGTGACCTACAGAGGAAAGTGATGGGACCAGCTGCACTGCTCTGGACAGAGCACACACACACATGTTTTTGCCTCGAGAGGCTGCTCCAAACAAGTGCTGCCTGCGTGTTACCAGGTGTGCTTCGGCTTTCTGGGCATGCACTGCTCACATCTGGGCAAACCTAGGAGCACAAACAGAAAGGAAGCCATTCCAAATTAAACACAGTGGCTTTCCAGAGTTGGTGAAGGGCTCTTTGCACAAGCTCCACAAAGCCCTGACTGCGCTGAGGCTGTGAAATGGCAGGGGGGGAAACACGCTCTCTGCTTTGAACAAGGCACAACAGCCCCAGCCCCGCTGCCTGCGGCTTCAGAAACCCCTCCAGCCCCCAGGGACAACCATCAGCAGCAAACTGCTACCCATGCCTCATGGGACTGCTGGAGGACATCCTTTAGATGGGAAAGACTGAGCCTGACTAAGATAAAAAAGACAACTTAGAAGCCAGTATTCATTGGAGGCTGTTTTCTGATGTCCCAGTAAGTGCATCACACATGCAAACACTTCCCCCATAGCGATGCTCCAGACACCACCCCACGCCCCAGCTGGGACAGAAAAGCTAACTGCTGTGACTGAGCTTTGCAGCTCAGAGGACTGATAGACAAACAATAAAGCTTTGCTTTACTCAAATAGCTCATGAGATTTGCTGGTCCCACCTTTATTCTAAGATGTAACGATGTGATTAGCACAAAAAAAATTTAATAAAAGTCAATCTCTGCTCTCAGAGGGGGAAGTGTCTGCATCACCTTGACAAGAGACATAAAAAACCAAACCAAAATACTTTTCTTTCCATACTGCCTCAATGACCAAACTCAGTTAGGGACATCTGTCCTAGGAAACTGCTTTGGGGGTGTATTTTAACCCTTGGAGTAAGTAAATAAAGAGAAACAGCTCATAGTCACAAATACCCCTCCTTCTTTATCAGTATTATCCACCAGGAACAGTGGGTGCCTTTGATCAGAGCTTAAGATATTGTTCTAACTTTACATAAAAAAAAGAGGAAGGAAAAGATCAGCCCTGGAAATGGGAGGGTGGCCCTGGATAATGAGCTGCCTCTGGTTTAATGAATCACAGGAAAAACTACAGACTTTGGTTTTAGTTTTTGTTGGGTTTTTTTTTTTTGAGGGGCAGGGAATCTTCAGTTATTCTGAAGAATTTATAAAAATGACTCAAATATAAAATATAAAAATGACTCAAACCTCACTACAAGTGCGCAGGGAATTTCTAAGTGACTCAAGCATTAAAAAGTCTGTAAATACAAATTCAGACATTCACCCAGCTGCTTTGACAGATGAGCTGCTCTTCCCTCAAACCCAACTCCCCGCGGTGCTGGTCACTCTACAGCCACAGAGAAGCACAGCAGAGACCCCTCAGCAGGGCAGCGGTGCCTCAACAGCGTGAGCAAAGAGGGGACATCTGAAAAGTTGACTTCTAGGCAACTTCTTTCTCATAAGTTTAAAGAACTGAGATTAAGGTCAGACCCACTACCCATAACCTCTCATTTCTTCTTGCAAATACTGAAGGTGTAACAAAAGCCACGTTTTCCCTGTGCTCCTGGCAGCACCCGGCTCTGAACTCTGCTGAATTTAGTGGGATGGTTTATTTCCTGTCTGGAAAAGAACAAGAAGTTCTTCCTTAATACTTTGAGCAATTAAGTATTTTCCTGAACTTGCATGACAAACAGAGGAGACTATCATAACATTAATAGCTTGCTGAAGTCCAGCTATTCTTCTTTAGTAGCTGGCAGAGCATAAACATTTAATTAAAGTTGTCTAGACTAGGAAAAGTCTTCAACAGGTCATCGACACCGACCACATCCAGTTTACAAAAACAAATGCAGTGCTTTGGCATTTGGAAATGCAAATATGGATTTTCAGGCTGCTGCCTGTGACACCTTGATGATGGAAGAGATGTATTCTACTAGTGAGTCCAAAGGGGAAAAATCAGCTTAGATTTCACATCCCAGTATGAACCTCTGAACACACAGAAACCCACAGGAAATCAAGCTTCAAGAATAAGGAAATAGGGTTACAAAAAGCATTGTTAACTTAGGAGGGGAAAATTTAATCTTGAAAACCAGAGATGACATACACACTTCCAACAACATCAATTACGCTTTGAAATGAGATGCAATCTTCTGCCATAAGAAAATCTTCTAATTTAGTACCTCCACCTGTATCATCTCATACACACGAATTTCAAATGCTTACAAATTTCTTTTCAAAACATTCAAACTCCAAAAGAGACTAAATGGGCTATTTGGCAGTTTTGAAGACTATTAAATTGCTCTACTCCAACAGGAAAAAAAGAACATTTAAGCTTGGGCTGCACTTAAAAAAAGGAAGCAGCTATGCACACTAACTACTCTTGAAAATAAAACTCCTGACGATCAGAAGAATGGGGCGTGTGCAGAGGGGGCACCAGTGTAAAGGGGCTGGCTGGGGTGAGGGTAACTGATGGTAATTCTGATTTTACAGAGCTGAAGCCGTGTCTGACACAACTGAAAAGATGTTTCCTGTGCAGGCAGGCAAAGCAAAGGCTTCACTTTGTCAGGGAAAAGCTACTGTTTCCTCTTGGGATTTCCAGACTGTTTTGGGATGAATGTTTTTCCCATAATCTGTGTAATTTTGTGTATTTCCTTTTAGTGAAACCTTGTTTATGAGACAGCATTTTCTCTCTCCCTTCAATAATCTTTACAACTTGTTTTACTGGAACATCAAACAGGGAATTTCCAAGACTTGTTTCAAGTATTTTTTTGGACCCAAAGTAGAATGTTACTCTTGCCTGTAATTTTAAAGTTTACATGGTACAACACAAACACGCTGTTAATTAACTGCAGCTACTGCCTGTGCACTTCTCTGGCAATAACATGCACAGAAGTTCCTCCTTTACGTTGCACAGAGTGGCACAATCTTTAAATAGCTTTTTACTGCCTTGAACTTCCTTATTAGATTCTCTCCCCAGACACAGCTATTGGGAATAAAGACAAGCTGAGGTCACAGCAATCGCTGAGAGAGAGAGAGAAGGGAAATGGGGGTGGGGACCACTTGCTTTGCACAAAAATAAATGTCAAAATCCTGGAGTGGGATTCCGAGTCTTACTTCAGCTCCAGCTCTGAAGCAATGCCTAGCAGAGCTCCACACAGCAGAAATTATACTGCTCAAATACAGTATCTGTCTTAATTGCCATCATTATATCAAGTGAACAAACCAGATAAACGAGAGCCACACAGATTTGCCCACATAAGACTTGTTATCAGCTTCAAAAAAAGTAAGAAATTTTCTGAGGAAACATCAAGCAGCAGAAAATTGCGACTTCTTTCCCTGGGAACTTTTGGTTCGTAGCACAGACAGTACAAATCCCAGCTTGGTCGTGCACAGCTCCCAGCACACTTGTGATGGCAGCCTGGGGACTGCACCCTGTGCTCACCAACTGCACTTTGTCACCATTAAAACAGGGAGCCCAATGACACCCAGGCAGCTGGAATTCAGAGCTGGAGCCATTCCAGCCTGGAAGCTGTTCCCACACCTCAGCTCCTCGTTCAGCTCCTCTCTGGGTACTGAGAAGGTGCAGAGAATCAGCGTTTCAAAAAGACAGTGGCAAACAGTGCTGTTTCAAGCAACAGACGAACAAAAAATTCCCCAAACTTGGAAGAAAAGCTGCCAGAAAAGCCTGCACTCCAGCAGGACAGCGCCCAGGGGCTCCAAGTGATGCAAAAGCCTATCTGTGAAAGATTCACCAGCACCTGCAATGAGGTTTTACATTGCTGAACTTTTCTTTGATTTAAACAAGAGGTAGACTTTTAGTTTTTGAAACTGCACTGTACACTTAATTTCTAAATCCACTGACACATAAACGCTTAATTTTGCGATGCATTAATAGTGCTTTATACAGTGAATCACTGAATTCAGCAGCAAAGCCCTGAATACCAGCTCCCAGTCATTAACACGGAATAGACAGTTTCTGTGCCAGTGTCAATTGCTTGAGGCCTTATTAACATAAAAGAAGCAGCCAGAAAGCTGTTTCCTGTTTTCTAGAAGTAAACAGAACTTCATTTCTAATGTATGGAAAATTCTCTTTTAAAGAACATGGGGCAGGGAATAAAGTGCTCTAAATTGCTCTCTAGTGATAGAGACCTATTTAAATATTGAATTGTTTCCAGCCATAGTGTGCTATTTTAGAAGCCTAACCTGTGGTTCAGACATGCAATCCTTCCTACATGGCAGCAAGGACTGAGCATCCAGCCCTTAGCATTACACAACTCTGACAGCATCTGGTTTTTTGGATGATTTCAATATCATTATAAATACAGGAAAAGCAGCACAGTAAGAAGTGAGATTTAAGGTCTGTTCTGAGTAGAACGCTGAGATTTATGTACATGGACAGGAAGCTTTCAGGACAAAAAAACCCCTCTTTTTTTCAAAGAGGTTTTAAAATAGAGGAAGCAAACTGAAGCACTGGAAAAGAATATTTTGAATACAGTAAATTTGTTCATGTAATCCTTTATACTAATATCTCATGTTTGAATCTAAGTAACACTGCAATTTGAAATGGACATCAGAGTCCAGACGAGGTTCACTGCAAACACACAGGGAGAGGTGATGGTCCCTATCCCAAACACCCACTACTCAATTAAAAACCACACACAAGAAAAAAGTAAACCACAGAAAAAAAACAAACAGTGATGGAGAGAAGTCAGCAAGGGCAAGTCATTAAAATGGCAGAGGCTGCGATTAGAGGTGACCTAACAACTGCTCTTTATACCATGAACCTGAGCAGCAGACACACCTCGGGAGCCGAACCCTTCCTCCCAGCGCGCTGAGGAGGGATGCTGGCTCCGGGCAGGCTGCAGAGGTACCCAGGCAACCCAGCAGCACGGAAGAAAGGGTAAAGATTTGGGGAGGGGAGGTGAAGAAAAGCGAGGAAAGTGAAGGTGGAAGCCAAGCCAGCTGCCTCTGGAACTTGATTTTGACACAGTGAGAAACGGGGCCAGTGCCAGCCAACAAGTGTCCTGACACCATGAGGGAGAAGAAAACTATTTTAGGCTTTGTCATCTGCCAGCACAGATTCGCTCTGCTAAATGCCAGATGCTAAATGCTTTTCTCTAAGCATGCAGGAAGATCCATTATTGCAGGCTGTACTATAATCAAATTACAAGTTTACAAATTAAGGCATTCTTTCTTTCTCTGCAAGGGCTTGATCTTTCCTGTAATGTACCAAAGGATCTGCCCCAAACACCCAGAGAGTTCAGAAGCACTTAAATCTAAATTAGAAGTCAAATTAGCTCATGAGGGGAAACGCATTTTTCTTAGTATATGGGAAGTAAAGAGGCAGATAAACCTCTGATTTTTAACCACTGACATCTGTGTGTCTAATGGAACTGCTGGAGAAAAACACGGCCACTGCTGAAGATCATGCAAACCTCTAACAAAGCTGAGGTTCCACTCTGCTGCCTTCCCACACACACGTGCACCTCACATAAAACCCAATCTGATTGCAGAGGCAGAGTACACTGCTCATAACACCCGGGGAGCCCAGAGGCAGCTGTGAGGCCACAGCTGGACGATTCAACCACCGCTTCCCCCAGCCCGGGCTGTCTGTTCCCCTCTCGCTGTAAGTTACAGCTCCATTTATCCAACACACACAAGTCAAACTCTCAGTCTCTCTGCTCTCAGAGTTTCAATCTTTAATTCAGTCTTACAAGGCTTTTTCTTCAGGGCAGCATTTTTATATGTATCCAAACGTGAGTAAACAGATTAGCAAGGTGGGTTTTCCTTTAATTACAGTCACACACAATGAAACTCTTTCAGCTGATGGAGCCGTTACCACAGTTACTATCAGTAAACAAAAAGCACAGTAAGGCCAGAATTTCTCTAACTGTATTTTCCAAATAAATGGACAAAGAGAAGCTGAGAGTTTTCTGCCTCTGAAACTCTGTCCAGCCACCAGATTAAGCAGTTACAGGACTTTTCTCCTTTCACATATCAAAAGGGGAACGCAGGCTGCCAGCAGGAAGCCGGACACGAGCCGTGGCGTTACTGAACGTGGCTTTTGGACCCGAGCAGCAGCACAGCCAGAGACCTGCCCTTCTCCTACTACCTTCAGCTTTCCCCTCATTCTCAAGATGAAACATTCTAGCGTATCCCCTAAAGAAGCAGGGGGAGGGGGGGAAGAAAAAGCAATGACCTTTGATTAGCTTGGTAATTTATACTTCATAATTATCAAGTATAGGTTACAATTTCATTTAATTTCTTCTCAGTCATGAGTACTTGACAAATTATGTCAAAGGGTTTTCTAACTATATTAATGTCCTCACACAAGAGGGAACCACAGGTTAAATTTCAACAGAAAAGATAATTGCTTTATGCTCTTGGAAGGCACATGACAAAAAGGCTTTGGAATGGAGCTGCTGCATTCCCTCCCATCAGTCCCTGCGCTCCATTACATGCATTTCACACTGCAGCACCAAAGTGATGCTTGTTCTGGTGACACATTCTGACCCCACAGAAAGGCTGATCCCAGGACAGAGGAGAAATTTGCAAGTCTGTTCCAGGAGAGGAGCCAAGCCTTCCACCCGATCCACAGCTCTGAGAGCGTAACAATATCCCCCTGAAATAAACAGATTGTCTAAACGCAGAAACAATCAACAATAAACACGAGCTTCCTGCCTGTTCTGGAGGAGGCCTGTTCTCCCTCCGTCCCCCTAAAAGCTGCCTGTATTTGGACTCAAGCTACAGAAGCTGTTGCTGGAAAATCGAGTCCCTGCAGTGCTCAGGCCTGTGAGCTGCTGTTCCTCTTCTGAAATATCTGAAAGTTTAAACGTTATGAGCAGTGACAGGTCAGCTTGGAAAAGCCTTCAATATCCAACCCTGTCACAACTCATTTCTTCAAGATTTGACTCGTTCTATCACTTATACAACTATTTTTTCCACCTTACCGAGGTTGAGTGTCAACTAAGCACCCTTCAAAAAGCAGCAGTATTACACATGGACCACAGATTTTAAAAAATATTTTCTGGGCTCAACATTAAGACCCCAAACTGGCCACAGAGTGTCACAGCCCGCACTGCCTGCGCCAGGGGAGCAGAGGCACAGGGCTAACACCTCCAGCCACACTTCCCCTGCAGCATGAGCTATCCCTGTAAGCAGAGGTCCCACTTGCTCCAGCACCACCTCTGCCTCCTCCCATCACAAGTGCTCACACAACCATCACGTCAGCTGCACCGACACGGGTTGAAATTAACTTTTTGGGTAGTTTTAAGTAACTTTTTTTTTTTAGTTTTAGCTGCTGTCTGCTTTACTGGTAGGTTCTGTTAATGCTTGTGCCAGCAAAGTGAAAGAGCGAGTAGCTGAGCACACAGGTCTGCTCGCAGCAGCAGTGCCAGCTTATGTTGGCTTAGTGCAGCACAAAGCCATGGATGCTCTTCTTACTGCGACGTTACTCTCACACAAAGACTAATCTGTGATCCCTCCTGGTGAGAAGAGTTTCTGCTTTAGGAAGCCCTCCTTACTAAGGAGAACAAAACCAACAAAGGGAGTCTGATAGACCTTTTACATTTCTCATGACAGCAGAAACACTTGGTTTCTTTACAGAAAGGATGAAAGCACATCCCTAACGCTGTGCTTCAACACTGAAATGCTTCTTGCAGAGATTTCAATAATGAATTCCAAGACACAAAATGATAAACAGCATTTATTAGCTAATACTGCTGATATGAAGATGGGACTCTGGAGCAGTAATAAATCTCTGCCTCTGAACTTCACCTTGGATGCAAACGCTCTGCAGAACCTGTAGTAATACTGTTGTCATTTCTGTCTCTCACTGTGGTACTTACAACATACCTTTAAGGCTTCTATGACAAGATCTCTTGCTTCTAATTCTCCCTCAAGAATGCTAAACAGCGTCAGTAGTTCTGGTTTGCTGAGCTTTTCCAGATTCATCCTGAAAACCTGAAAAAGAAAAAAGGAACACACTTTACCAGGTATTTCTTTGTACATTAAAATCAGTATTCTAAGCTATGACACATAATCTCCATTTAAATGCAGCTTCCAGTTTTTTTGACTGCAAATTGCCCTGGGTGGGGGAAAGGGGAGAATACACAAAGCAAATATTTTCTCTTTAACTTCCAAGACCAGATGTAGAAGATGCATTTTTCACCTTTTCCCAAGGGGTCATGAACATATGCACACCCAGATGGTGCAGGGACTAACGTGACAGCACAATAGCCACCAAAGTTAACAGGGGAGGGAAAAACATGGATATTTAAAAGCTATAGGACTTTAAATTACACATCTGCATCACACAGCTGCAAACATCTCTGAAACAAGAGTGAAGAGTTGCGATGAACGGGATCCAAACTGGGCCACCTACGCAGCTTAAGGGTGAAGTTAACATTTCAGTGCTAGGATCCGTTCCTAGAGAAGCCATTCTGCATGGCTAATGGAACAGGCCCAAAGCACTTTCCAAAAATCAATGCCACAGAAAACACACATTTAATTACTATCCTTTAAAACTGTTTCAGTATCACTATCATTTATTAAATATAATTTTACTGCCCACATAAGAACAAAGATCCATCATCCGAACTGCACATACAAAAAGCATTTCCCCCCCCGTGTCTTTGCCTATACACTGACTTTGCCCAGTAATAAGCCCCTTTATGACATTATTTTGTTAACAAACACTGGCAATGCTTTCACACACTAAATCCTTGTCTCTCATGCAAATATACCTGATGACAACACAGTCTTGTGCTTTGTGCAACATCAAATAGTCCCAAGTCACATCCACCTTCTGCCACTCTGTGTATCAGAAAACGCTGCAGCGTGATCAGCTGCTCAGGGGCACCAAGCTCCACAAGTGCTAAAGGGTTAACTGAACCTTTCCCAGAAAAGCCCATCCAGCTAAAACACTCAACTGGAACTGTAATTTTTCTGAAGTCACTGCTACTTTACAACTGATTTGCATAACTGTGCCTTGGAGAATTAAGCACAAAGGCAAGTTCTGTCTTGTTTATGCCAAAGCAGTTTTCCAGGTGCTGGGAACAGAAAGTTCTGCTCACAGAGGAGCAGGCAGCCTTCACACAGCAGGAGAAATCCGAAATCTACTTTGTGCCCCCTCTGCTAAGCAGGCAAGTTTCTCATCTTGCAGTCAAGTTCTTGCTCCACACAACGTTTTACATGAAATCCCACAAAGCAGCGATGTTTCTCGCAGCCTTTTCTGGCCAGTCCACCATCAGCCTGGGCTGCTCAGGGAAACTTCCGTGGAAGTGACCACGACTGTCTGGCAGCTGCTGCAAAACCAATTTAACTGGACACCGTGGGTCTGTCAGCACTGCATGGACATGTTCCTTACTGCAGATCCACTAACACATGTTCCGGAGAAAAACACACGAGTGGAGTGTTTGGCAAACTCGTTCGTATCTGTCGTAATTTCAGAAAAGCCTGATCAAGACTTGACACAAAAGCATCATTGAGGAAACTCACTATATTGACTCAAATCACATTTCAGGGGCCCAGCACAGCGCTGGTCACTGTCCAGCAAGAGCCACACTTGCAGATCAGCCCACAGACCTTCACAGAGAGTCATCCAGGACGTGAACCTGACCATCTCCCTCAGCTTTGGGTACATCTGCTGACGGCTGTCACCACGGGGAGCCTGGCCAGCTGAGACCGTGTGGAAGGAGTGTGATTTACAACTTGTTCATCTCATGTAAAAAGGGAGAGTGCAATACAAGCAGCAAATTAATGCTAAAATGTAAGTACGTAGCCATTCAGGGTGAGAAAAGAGGGGGGCAGGTTTTAGCCTTTCATGTTTACCATATTTATGTTGGTATTTAAATCTCAGCTGCATCACTTCCCTGGGCAGGTTTTAAATCTGGAGCATCTGAATGTCTGCTCAGGAGATGCACAGCTTAATTTCAAAGCCACCTCAGCCCTTGCTCAGACTAAACTCACAGGTGCTAAGACTGAATCAGTACTGATGGGAAATAGCAACAGCTGATTTTGCCAGATACTCACCAAGTTGTAATAGTTTTGTGGCATTATAAGCAAGAACTAAAAAGGAGAAGTTTTCTTTGAGATGTCAGAACAAAGTGTATCATCTAATTCCGTTACCTCAGGACAGCAAATTTTGAACATGGTCTTTCATTGTGACTGAGCCTGTGCTTTGCTCTTAAAAAGAGATGACAGGGGAACGTGCAGCCACAGCTCTCCATCAGCTCTGAACACACTCCTGGAGCGAGGGAGCTACCAACTGCAGTTTGATATTTCAAAGCTATTAGTCTGGGCAGTGATCATTTCTGTTCTATATTCTAAATACTCCCATTGTGACTTGTACTCCACAGTGTTACTGAAATAAGCCACGCTATTCTTAACATGCCTCTATGGCCATAGTCTTTAATCAGCTTAATCACATAAACAAGCCCTGTCCTAAAACATACAGGTAAAAACACTTACAGAAATCAAGGCAGGAGCCAGTTTGCACAGCAACTGTTTATGGAACCACAACAGGTAACATAAAAGATATATAAGTGGTACAGCCTCAGCTTCCTTGTGTGCAACCTGCTGCTAGAGGAGACCTGTAGCTGCTCTGCTTGCACAGGTTATCCCGCTGCTGAGGCGACAGACGGGGAGCAGATGCTATAAATGAAGTCACTGCTCTAAAAAACCACTAAATTGCACTTGTACTCGGCACTGATTTACAGGGAAGTGTTTAATGCATTGGAGCACACCTGGCAGATACCTGCCATGTTGAAGCTCTAACAATCTCAAGCACTCCCTTTTAGAGCTGCTAAATACTAGAGAGCTGAAAAATGGAAAAAAAAACCTCTATTCATTTTACTTTGTTACTTTACAGCAACAAGAAACAGCTCTGGATCAAAGAGCTGATAAGCACCTGAGCTCCTCCTCCCCTATTCAAATCCGAATCCCTTCCCGGCCCTGCAGCATCACAGGCTCCTGAGCTGACCTTTCCCAGACCGCTCTCCAGTTCCACATCCCCGTGCCTTCCCTCACCCCACTTTTTAATAAAAGATCACTCCAACCCTATCCAGCCTCCCCTGCAAACAGTCCCATCCTGCCAAACAGATCTGTACCCGTCAGCTGGGGAACGTGACCCATTATTTCAAAACCTTTAACCAAGGGATAGAGTTTCACAGCATTAGAAACAAGATCTAGAAACACCCAGGGCACGTTACCCCTCCACACTCAGTGAGATATCCTGACCAGTGCAATCTACAGATCGCAAACCGCAAGGACCTCATTATTTAGTCTGATGGTATAAATATTTTCCCCGACTCTGAGATATAGCACCATTTTTGGACAATAAGCAAGAGTTTAGAGGATAAACAAAGATAATTACATACTGCTTGCCTAAAGGTAAACTTCCTCGCGGCTGCCCTATGGACCATTAGAGTCTCCTCAGCAGAACCATAAAGTTCTGCCTTGAAAGAGTCAGAACTCCTCCCTTTAACTGAAAATAAACACAAGAGACCAGTCGAGGCGTGCGCACAACCATGCAAGCAAACAAACCAGGGTGAGTTATCTTTGGCATGTGCCACTTCAGGAACAAAAGAGATAAGCTTGGAGACCGCGGCAGCTCCTCCGCGCGCTGAATCACACGCTACCACGATTATGAAACCATCAGAGGATACACTTCGCTCGGGCTCACACACACACAACCACCAAACAAGTTAAACCGAAGAAAGTGCGGTCCCCCCCCCCTCCAGCCGCGGTCGGAGTCACGACAAGCAGGCTCCAAGCAAAGAGCTGCCGGAGAGCCCAGCCCAAGGCAGGGACAGGGGAGCCTGTCAAGTGGAAGTGTCACTTGGCTCTTGGCTCAACTCTTCTACTCTGTCCAGAGAAGAGCAACGAGGCTGGTGA